AGCTTTGTGATTATTACAGTATTTAAGACAAATTGATGTTAGTCAAACTTTTGAAGGGATTTTAATCTTGGAAAAATAAATGACAGAGATAAGTAAAATGATGTAAATTTTTTTTGTAAAGAATTACAGTTAAAAATTTATTTACATCAGTGATGAAGCTATAAATAATGCATATAAAGACTTGACTGCTTAATCCTTGAAGGATGAGAAGGATCCTCCAGAATGTTTGAGTGCTTTTATTTGCAAGAAAATTTGTATTTTCTTATTATTAACTGTTAATTTATGTTCTAAATCCTCTATGAAAAATATACAGTATATTCGATTTACATTCTGTTCTAAATCAATCGAACGATTATTTATCATCTTTGAATAATGTTAATATGTTTGACATCTGAATTTTAATTTATTTTTTTGTATTCCACGTTAAATTAATCAATCAATTATAGTGTTGTTGATTAGATAAGACTTAAATAATAAAAAATATTTATAATCGACTTTTTTACCGAGATGCGATTTCATATGTATATTCATCATATCGATTTTCGTTATTCGGTAGTTTTGAAAAATGATAAATAATATCTACAAGATTACAATGATAATTATGGACATGGCAAGGATTATTACGCAATTTTCTTCATGAGATACTTACATCCATCGACTCAAATTTGTTATCTTGTAACATTATAACTGGTTTTTATTCAAGTACACAAAAAAGGTTTATTTGTTTCTATTAAAGATATGCATGTGAATATTTGTTTGTTATACAAAATTCGACTATGTAGATCCGGGGGGATTAGCAAACAGTTACAGTAATAAATACTGCGCCTGAATGGATTCTCACAAAAAATCCCTTTTAGATGACTGCTGTGAGTCAGCAGATTAATCTGTCAGTAACTATCTATTCGTGTTTCTTTCCCGGAAGTCGAGTGCATATCACAGAAACATTAGTTTAAAATAATCAGATATTATGTTAATCTTTGGAAGGGTTTTTTAATTACAATGTCAAAGTCAAGTCCTTGTACATGAGAGTGAAGGGTATCAAGAAGATAAGAAAATATGCGTTGATCATAAATGAGCATTTATTTATGAAGAATATTGGATGCCTGAGCTTTAAACCGATGATATCACGAAACTCCGAGTATATGGCTCCGTCGTAAAAAAAAATTAAGAAAGATTTGGGTTAATCGAAAACAGTGTGTGAAACGTATTTTCGCGAAAATAAATGAGTGAGTAATATCGAACAAGTTGATCATGGGATCCTCGTTGATTATATAAAGGCAACCAAAATTCCTTGCATCAGAGTATAAAAAAAAAATATCTTTTCAAATGGTTCCCATTCCAAAAAACACTAGGTGACAAACTCGCTATCGCTTTTTTTTCCCTCGTCATCAGTGTTTCAAACTGTCTTTCCTCCAACTCTTCTGTGAACCATTATCGGCTTTTTCGTTCGCCGAAGGTAATCATAATTGTTATTGCCTTGTAGTGTATTCATGACTTACTCATCGCATTAACATAAAGATCAATTTTCCAGCGAAAAGATATGTTCCACATTCTAAATTCGAGTGGTCGATATCGTATTTTCTCGGTGTTGTGTCAATCGACCCTTTTCAAGGGTCGTTCCTAGTAAACCAATAATAGAACGTTTTTTTTTTTTTTTTTTTCCATCTCTA